AGTTAATTAGTTATGCGCTATTTAAATTATAATTAAAAAGGATATAAATTATAACAGGTACAGCTTGTGCTACTTTGCCTACTTCTTCATCTGTTTGCATTATCTTCTTTATACGACCCTACAAACTCAGTAGTCTAAAAGGTTATTTTTAAAATAATATTTCAACTTACCGCTGGAAATCTAGCGTTGTATTTTTTCTTTTTTGAGGGCATTATTAACAAATTTTACCTTTGCAATATTATTTTGACATCTATAACCATTCATAGGTTATGTTTTGGAACAGCCAAAAGTAAATGGAAGTAAACATCATACCATCCTTGTAATTTTCATCAGTTGATTTATTTTATTGCATTTCTACCAATTATAACTGTAAATTTATTAAATATTATATAATTTTTTAAAATTGTCAATAACTGTTGCGGTAAATTTATTTCAGCAATAAAATTAATTCAGAATAATGGTAAGGTACAGTGCAGTTATAATAAGGATTATCTATGGTTTCCATCAGTTTTCATTGGTAGTCCTGTGAATCTGGCACCCGATATAAATAATCTTCTTATTTAAGCTTTATCAATAAATTATGCGTCGTTTGCGGGTTATTAATATATAAGTATCATAATTTTGTATCCATTAATTCTGCTAAAAAATAGTAAAATTAAATAGAATCAGTGGATTGGAATGCCAGTACACACGACTTTCATTGATTATATATTTCTTTAATTTATGGCATTGATCTATGGTTTACATCAATCGAGAAGTTAAAAATGTCGGAAGTTCTTGTACTCTTGTTAGCTAAATTATCAAAATCTGAGTTCAAATCGTATATGAATAGGTTGTAAATTAAGAAAATAGCGTGCTTTTAAATAATATCTTCGTTGCCTTATAATTAGTTGCATTAATATAGGCTGAAGTTTTGTGAGTTAGTGGAGTGCAGTGTGCCTATGTTACACAGTGATAATGTACTTTTGACATCTTAAGAAATAATTATAAATTTTGTGAGATAATTTTATCATTCTCAAACAGATACGATGTCATACCCACCTCGACCTCCCCTTGGCATACCAATGCCCGGTATGCCTTACATGCCAATGCCAGCTCCTCCTCCTATGATGCCTGCTGTAATGTCTGTACCACATGTACGTAGGTCAATTATGGTACATTTGAAATTTTGTATAATTAGACATTACAGATGGTTCCCGCGCAAGTCACAACAACTACACAAATAAGGGCTTTTCCAAAGCTTAATCCAAATAGAGAGCAAATGAAACAAATTCAAGGACCTCCAGTTACAGTATTTGTAGGTAAGTGGTAGTCATTTCTTTAGATGATTTAGTGGGTAAACTTGTTACTTTCAGGAAATATTACTGAAAGGGCACCAGATAATATGATTAGGCAGATTTTGGCAACATGTGGACATGTCATCAGTTGGAAAAGAGTGAAGACATTTGGTTTTTGTGAACTAGCTGGACCAGATGCAGGACTTCGAGCAGTTCGAATATTGCATGACATGATGGTGGGTGACAAGCGGCTTGTTGCCAAGGTAGATGCTAAAACTAAAACTGTACTAGATGAATACAGAGGTAATCTTCCATTTTAATGTTTTTTATAGTTTATAACCTTTACGACATATTATTATTAGAAGATATATAGGAAGAAGTTGACTAGGAAAAAGTTTGTGCTTTACATGTATTTAAAGTGTATTTAAACTGATCTTGTTGATTTCCCTTTTCAATTATCATTTCTATTATTATTCCTAATAGCAGAAAAACATAAAAAGGAGAAAGGGTCATCATCTCCACTGCAGGATGAACCTCAGGAGGAAGAATTGGACGAAGAAACCCAAGCATTAGATGCTGTAGCACTTGAAAGAATCAGGCAAATTTTAGCAGAACACCAGGAAGAAATGAATAATTTTGAAGTAAAAAAAGAAGGTATTTAAATATAATTTTAGCAGTTATTTATTTATTGTATTATTTAATTTTGGTTTGGTAATAATAAATATAAATCTTCATTTTCAGAAGAAGCTATTGAAAAACGAATCAAAACACTTGTTGAAGCTGAAGTTGAAGAAGAAAAAAGAGATTTAATAACTAGGGAAATAGGAAAATTTCGAGAAATCATGAAGGTGAGTAAACAGTTATTTTCAATGACCCAGGAGAAATAACAACCCAATTAAAAAAAAGCTCCAAAAATGTAATCATTATATCAGCAGAATATGTAGATAAATTAGTCAGCAGATGATTTACTGTATTAATTTTTAATTTCTTAAAATTAAATTTAATTAAATTTCATTATTTGGTACATCAGAATTAATGCAAAAAACATCTATCAAACATTTTTCATTGTTTCAAGCATCACTAGTTAAATTGGGCCTTTTATTTGGCTCATAAGCACGTCATTTTGTCAAGCATTTTTATGTAATAATTTTAATTGGAATCAATTGCATCGGAAGACCTTAACTGTATGTACAGTAAATTATTTGTGCATTTATGTTTTCCAACCAAAATATATTATCATATTACGACTTGTCTGTAATTCTAAAGATAGGGAACAGAATATTATTTTAATAGCATAGGGTGTAATAGCTTTGAGGTTGGTAATATGGTAATTAAAACCAAACAGGCAATGGAAGCGGCGCAGTCCATCCTAGGTAACCGCCAGTGGCGCCGCCGGTGAGTAATGTGAAAAAACTATCAACATTTGTCGAATGCTTAGGCTACATTTGTACTTGTCAAAAAATGTGGTACTACTATCGACTAATGAATGGTTAGTAAAATGTTATCGTATTGTACACATAAATCATAGTTGCAATGAATTAGAAGTTATGGTAGTAAGGCTTTCACGGCTGACGTGGATCGGTTTTAAATTGAGCCGTTTTGCTACTATAAAATTTTTCTTTTTCAAATGTTTCTCCGATATTTACTTACATCATAGTCATGCTCAGTCACGTCTGAATCTTTTTGGCTGTTGTCAGCGAAGGACGACGAAATATTTGGAGAACAATGATTTCATAAATCAATTAAAATTATATAAATATAACAGTAATTTAATCCGAGATTAAAGTTACTGCATTTGTTTTTCTTTTAAGACTATTACGTGAGCATCAATCAGCAAATATTGTTACAGTTAACTATATAAATAACTAATTTTTCCATCAAATAATGTTGGAGTGTTGCCTTACTAATTACTACATAGAATAGAATTGAAAAAGTACAAATGTGGTTTATAATTTTTCATAACTTAATTTGTGGTGTAGCATTTTCATTCCACCCAAAACTTTTAATTTTAAAACACTTGTTACTACAAAATACTATTGTCTGTAAGATGGAGTGAATGCCAATCTTTTTATGTAAAAAAAGAAACCATTTTATTCTCAAAATGGTTACAAATATTCCATCGCTATTGTTTTTTGTCTATTTGTGGTGAAAATTATTTAAATGTATTAAATAAAATGGTTTCTTTTCAAAACGTCTAATTTGTTTCCTTTTTCTTTTATTTTATTGTTGCGTGAATTTTTTATATCTTGTGCTCTCTTTGTACTTAATTTGCTAAGAAGCATTAGGTAATTTGATATCTGCAGATCGTATTTGTAAGTTACGGTCTGTGGTTGTATGATTTTCCCAACCGTTTAATTGTTCATCGACCAGATTCAGGATTACATACGTCAGCTAACAGTAGGGAATGCCTCCTTCTATAATAAGAGTAAGTTTGCCTTGAATGAAAATTTGTTAATTGTCTTACGTCTGAAAACATTATTTTATCTTTCATTTTAGTGTCAATACTCTTATTAAAGTTATAATATTTATATAAACATGTTAAATAGTGTTTTCAAACTTAAAACAAATTTTATTATTATATACATAGTTCAATTTCTGTGATGCTTGTACTACTTTTAATGTCGTATAGATAACATTTTCAAAAGATAAAAAGAAAAGAAAAGTGTTAATTGTATTGCAGTTTATTATGTCGTCAGTTTTTCACAGTTGATAAGTGACGCAGTGTAGTGGTTCCCCCATTTTATAGTGGTATGATTTTTTCTTTTCATATTTGTCTATTACTACTGTGATGAAACATTGTCGACAATTGTCGCGCTAAGGCCGTTTCTGTTTTTTCTTCTAGAAACAAGAAGAAGAGAAAGAAGTAAGCAGGCGCAAAGAGAAAGAACGCGAAAGGAAAGACCACCGATCAACCTCCCATTCGCCAAGTCCAAGGAAGAGAGAGAGGGAAAGGGAAAGGGAAAGGGATAGGGAGAGGGAAAGGGAAAAAGAAAAAGAAGAACGAAAAAAGAGACGAACGCGTTCAAGGTGAGATAATATTTTTTAATTGGTTTTTCTTTAATTTAATTTTACTTTTATCGTATTATTTTCCAGGTCTCGAGATGAAAGGAGCAGAGAGAGAGATAGGGAACGTGACAGAGAACGGGAACGAGAGCGTGAGAGGGATAGGGAAAGGGAACGAGAGAGGGAGCGTGAACGAGAACGTGAGCGGGAGCGAGAGAGGGAGATACGGGAGAGAGAACGAGAACGGGATAGGGAGAGGGATAGGGAAAGAGACGAGAAGGAAAAAAGTAAAAGCGCGAGAGAGCTGTTAAAGGAAAAAGAAATGGAAGAAGAGGCAAAAGAAAAGAAAAAGGCTGAGAGAAGAGCAAGGGAAAAAGAGGCAGCTTATCAAGAACGATTGAGGTTTGTTCAAAAAACTTTTAATTGACAAAAATATAGTTTCGTTAACATTACAGAGTCTGGGAAACTCGGGAACGACGAAAAGCAAAAGATTACGAAAAAGAACGTGAGAAGGAAAGGATTAAGGAAGAAGAGAGAGAAAAGGATGCCAAAAGACTCAAAGAATTCTTGGAAGATTATGACGATGAACGTGACGATATTAAATATTACAAGTACTTTCACAAATTAATGAATGAATGTTATTGTATAATGCAATCGATCCTAATTATTTTTAGGGGCAAAGAGTTACAAAAACGATTAGCAGAAAGAGTAAAAGAGGCCGAAGGAGACAGTAGAGATAGAGCCAAGGAAAAAGAAGAAATAGAAGAATTAAAAAACAAAATATTTTCAGGGGAACATGAAGATCCTAGTGCTGAATTTGAAAGGGTATCTAATGTACTATTTGTTTTATATTTCAATGTTGGGTTTGTTTTTTAATCAGATTAAAAAAGAACGAGAGGAACAGTATAAACCTAAATTATTAATTGATGTAAATTTGGATTCGTGGAAACAAAGGGAAAGAGAAAAGGAAAGAGAATTGGAAAGGCAACGGGCTAGAGAACGGGAACGAGACAGAGAAGCCGAAAGGGAAATGCATAGGCAGAAATTAAGAGAAGAAAGGGAAAGGTAAATAAACTAAATAAAGGATATTCTTAAGTCTTTTCCAGCAAATTGGTATTTATTACTATTATTTAGACAATTTCGTACTTATTAGATATATTGTTGAACAAGCAGCCCAAGAATTAGCAGCCGTCCAAGCTGAACCTATCGATAGTGACAGCGAAGTGGAAGACCATCGTAGTCCCGCACCTCCTCTCGAAAATGAAAATAGTTCTGACAGCCACCCAGAATCAGCTAAAGTAAAAATCTATCGATTTATTTTTAAATTGTTAAAATTTTCCTCTAACGGTTTAATAGAAATGCTTTTTTTTTGTTCTACATAGTGGACTCAAGTTCAAATAGGAGATGAAGACTCTCGGCATTCTATAACGTCAAATCACGAAGAAATAGCTCCTCCCCCAACAGGTACAGGTATCAAATTAACTTTATCAAAACCTAGTGGTTTACATAGTCCTCAACAGAGAAACGATGGAAAGAGGAAAAAATTGGACTTGCGAGAAGTCTTTAATCCCGATGACGATGATACGCCTGCGCAAGTCAAAAGACGAAAATTAGTTCCTCTAGGTATGTGACCTTTCATCCATTTATTTTCATAAATTAATAAAGAAGCTAACCACTGTCTAGAATACGCGTAAAAGTCAAAGAATTTTGCAGTTCCGTTACCTTCCTTTTATAATAAATACCGAAAAAACGTATCAGTAGATTATTATTACCGATATTGAAAAGGAACGAGTGATTTTAGAGTATTCGTATTTGACATGTTTATCATTATTAATGTGAAATACGTACAATTTGAACACTTTGTTTTATGTAAATCTTAATTTCATTAGGACTACCAATAACTGTGTCGTTTAACTCTATAAGTACTCAAACGTTGCCTTATTTGATACGTTTTCTTCTGTAGCTTAACGAACCCTAATATAAATTCAGATGAATATTTATTTCCTTAGACTACAACGAAGATAAGAAGACTAAAAAAGAAAATGGTGAGAAGAAGTCCGAGGAATCGATAAAGTCACAAGAAGAAAAACGAAAGCATATAAAGTCTCTAATCGAAAAGATACCGACAGAAAAAAATTCTCTCTTTGCTTATCATCTCGATTGGTCGGTTATTGATAATGCGTTAATGGAGAAAAAAATTAGGCCGTGGATAAATAAGAAAATAATAGAATACATAGGTGAACCTGAACCAACACTAGTAGACTTTATCTGTTCGAAAGTGATGGCCGGTTCTAAGCCGGAAGTGATATTAGAGGACGTTCAAATGGTTTGCTTATTGAAATATACTTATTTATATTTTTACTTTTTTCGTTTTGCAGGTCTTAGATGAAGAGGCCGAGGTGTTTGTAGTGAAAATGTGGAGACTGCTGATCTACGAAGTGGAAGCCAAAAAACTAGGGTTAGTAAAATAGCATCATACATAATAAGTAAAGTCCGTATTTCATTGCAATATAACTTATTCATTATTAATTACTATTGCAAGTATTTTCCGTATAATTATTTCATAATAGTCAATTCTTTTTATATCGTTAATAATTAGAGTTGGCAGTACAGCCTGAATAAAAGCCATGCGTCTATTTTTGTTGTAATTTTTTTACAGTTAATAGAAAAAAAAAAGCGATAACATATTTTCGTATTCACCATTTTCAAAAAAAATCACAAAAGCATGAATTAATGCAATAATTTCTTTTTATTACTGTCTTGAAAAAAATTGTGTAGGTAGTCTTGTTAAAGTTATCAGTAATAGTAATAGGAATTACGTTTTCTACATTTTAATGCTATACAAATAACACTATGTATAATGAAAACGTATTATTTTATTTACAATTGATTTGCTTACAATTTTAAACTTTTTTAAGTTTGTCGATAGAACAAAAAACTCTGAATTTTCAATTTGTTTAGTCACTGATTGGCATTACCAAATTTTTTTATTACAATTGATTTTTATAGTTAATACTTATCAATAAAATCACTAAAATTACCATATTTTAATAGTACACTACGCACGGTAAAAATGGCCCAGATCGCATGTGAGCGTATACAATTTTACGTGCAGCTGCGGTCAGAAAGTGATACCTAAGTCCCGCGTACTACTTTCACCCCTCTTAGTGGAACTCAAGTACAACTTCCTGGCCACAGAGTACGTAAAAATTCTTTTCCCATTTATGTTTCTGCAATAACTATAAGTGCACTTTAAAGTTCTTTAGTTTAAAAATAACAGTACATAAATTATATTGGAATTAAAAGTCTGCGCGTTCCTGTCAAATAACGTTAAATATCACACAGGTTGTTTAAAAAATGATATCACCGATTGGACTTTTGGTTTTTTTTTATTACTTTTATTAATGTCTCTTTTTGATTCTTTAACATCTACTGTCATAGGGTTAATTTCAGAATGAATTTTCTTCGCTAAATGATAATCTAAATGACTTTCCATTTCTAAAGATTCAATTGCTTTATTACATTGAGGGCATGTTTCAATATTTCCTGATTTACTAGTTGTTGCCTCTATTTCTTTTTTAAAATACTTTGAAATTGAAGCGTTCTTCGTTATCTCGGGACTTCTTCTTTTTACTGACTTCGCAGAAAATATTTTATTATTTTGGCTATTATAAACTGTTTTGTTACTATTTTTAGCACTAGATATCCTTGCATTTTGATTATCAAATATTTCCTGTTCAGCAAGACTTAAAGCAACGTGGTAGTCTGAGTGTAAAGTAAATTCTGACATTTTAATTTGTTCTCCACACTTGTCGCAAGTTTTTGAAAGTTCTTCCTGGTTGCAGGCATACGAATCTTCTTCATCTGAAGGTTCAGTCTTGGTATCACTATCAAATTCGTCACTTTCTAATAATTTTTTGTCTTCATTCAAATAACGTGATGTGTCAAAAGATCTTTTTCCATGAACAGTGTTAAAATATTTATCAAAAAAAGATGCTTTGTCAGGATCCTTAACGTTATTTTGAGTATCATTTAGAATTTCTACCAATTCGTTATTTATCGAGTCGTCTGATTTGTTGGCGCTTTTATTTTTTTCTTGAGGTTCTTCAAAATTATTTGAATGTTTATCATCAGTTTTAGTTACGTCTTCGTTTATCACATTTTGGTAACTTGATAACCACAATTGAATATTTGTGTTTTTCTCGGTTACTTTATCTTCTTGTTTTTTAATATTTACATTACTTAGGTGTTCTATTTTATCAAAACTGTTTCTCTTTTCTTTTTGAAAATGTTCTTGAGCTTTGAAAAATGACTTTATACTAACTGTATTTTTTATTTTTTCAAATTTTCCGCCAGAAAGTCCTAAAAATTGGATATGAAAACTGCCGTCAGATTTCATACAATTTTTTCTTATAATTTCATAAGCATCATTAGCAACCTTATCAATTTCATAAACAGTTAGTACATGAACTCTTGAACCATGAACTGATTTCGTGTTTTCTTTACATTGAAAACTAACTGTTAGGCCTTTTGCTTTCCTTGCATTTTCTTCACAATCGCTTTCCAAACGCTCAATAAGTTCTTCAGCCAATTCATGGAGCCATTTTCTTACATCCTGTTCGGTAAAAAGGGCACTTTTTCCTCTGAACTGTTTACAACATCCTATAGACTTAGGAATAAGTCTTGCAGTTACTGGCTCAAAATTTATACCTCGTGCAATATTGTACAACCATGATCTGTGGACAATTTAAACAAACTGATAAATTGTTCCTTTTTATCATATCTAACAAAAATGTTAATTTACCCTGCTTTTTCATCATAGCGTTCTGTTAATTCTTTTTTACTGAATTTACAAAGTTCTCCAACAGTTTTAATTCCTAAGTCATCTGTTACTGCATCACCAAATTTTCCACCTAAACTTCTAATTTTACATATTGGTAATTTATTAAAAAAATTTGATACAGAATTTTGTGGCAAAATTGTCTGTTGATTTGGTTTATGTAAACCACATGCTAATTTGGCTAATATTTTATTGTGTGCTATGCCAGCAGAACACCGATATCCTAAAATAACAAAAGGAATTAATGCTTTATTTTATGTAATCATCAATATTAATTGTACCTGTTTCTGTGTAAACTGCATTTCGTATTTCTTCAGCAATCATTCCACCAACTGCTAATTTTAAATTATCATCTGTTAAGTTATATCGAATATTGTGTAAAAAGTCCTCAACAGTTGATTCAACAACATGGGTATTTTTTAACACTTCTGTAGTAATTTCACAATTCAACAACACATTGTTTATATTGTCTGTAATATCCAAGTATGCTTCATCAACAGATGCCCTTTCCAATGTATTCGTGAATTTTAAAAGAACATTAGCTACTTGTTTGCCTGCAATACGGTATCTATAAACCAAAATATTAAATATATTGCAATGTTATATTTAGATAATAACAGTTACTTTGTTAGATCAGCTTTTCCTCTTAAAACAGGCACTCTAACCAAGTGAACATCAGGACACTTTTCTTTGGCTTCATCTCCTCTCATATGTCTAGTAACACCTCGACTTTTTGCTTCATAATTGACGGCTATTATGCTAAAAGAAAGGTATATCAAAAGACATGTTTAATGAAGAATGTTGAAATATTTACTTACCCTCCACCTTTCCATTCATTATACTGCACCACAGCTACTGGCTTACCAATTAATTGAGGTTGTAATTTTTCTTCAACCTGACAATAAAAACAATCCATATCAATTAATATAATAACTCTATCTGTATGATTCATTTTGTTTAGTTATATTATTTAAAATTTGTAAGTCAACTATTAAAAACAAAATCATTCACCCACTGATCTTCTCTATTCTCAGTCCATAGATAAGTCAATCTATGGACATAGATAATAGAATGAATAGTAATAATAAAATTAATAAAGTACATCGCCAGTACAAACGGACGTATATGGCAGTGTATATGTCCTACCATGCCTTATATCCGTTAAAGCTTAAGCTTTAATCTTAGGATACGAGACTGAAGCAGATATGATAAATTTCTTTTTATTGCCTGCGAATTACCTTTTAGTTTAGACGCTAGTAGTAACCATAGATAGTAGTAATTAGTAACATTCATTGGTAACATTAAACATTTAAATAACACCCGCTTCATCATTTCAACTCGAGCCGCCACTGCTATATTTAAAATTTGTTTAGTCACTGATTGGCATTACCAAATTTTTTTATTACAATTGATTTTTATAGTTAATACTTATCAATAAAATCACTAAAATTACCATATTTTAATAGNCAAAAAAATGCAGTTGCTATTTCCATCGATTAATAGATATATGTACATAAATATTGCGTTATAAATGAAATTAGAAATAATAAAGGTTTTATTTTGAGCTGAGTAATTCAGTTTTCCAAAATTAATTAGTGTTTTAGATACATTGATTTGTTAGTTTGCTTGCTAGGGCTAAAAATAGACTCAAAATTTTGCTGGCTCTATTTATAAGTAGAAAGGCTTTTAGTCCAATTCCGATTTAGTTGTGCCGTGTGTGGATATTCCTAGATATATGTACATAAATATTGCGTTATAAATGAAATTAGAAATAATAAAGGTTTTATTTTGAGCTGAGTAATTCAGTTTTCCAAAATTAATTANGTGCAAAATTTAACATATACATTTATCTAAAATTTTGAAAGGTTTCTCCCTAAATGGAGAGTTACTTATGGATGCATTGGGGGGCGAAACGACATTCGCTGACGTCCACGGAGACAACTTTGTTCCCGCTTGTACCCTTAACGTTGGTCAAAAAGCTAAACTTAATTTCGGACAAGATGTTTCCACCCTCAAATTCTTTACAACGTGCGGCCTTCAAGAGGGCTATGAACCTTTCTGTGTGTAAGTATTTATTATTAACAAATGTTTATTTATATGTTCTTTACAGCCGGTCTCATTAAATAAATGCAAGTACTTAATTAGTACATACTGCAAATTTTTGCCAAAACAGATACATTTTCTTTATTAAATAAAATAACTACCTATTTGTCTTAAATTTGTAGTTTATTTATACTATTTTATCATAATGTTGTTAAAAAGAAGTGATAAACGTTATAGTACTACTCTATTTTCGTTCAATTGATCAGTTCTAGAAGTATTTTTGATTGCACCTTAAAAATATAATTTGTTATTTGATCATAACCTATAATCTATAATTCGTGATTTAAATCGAAAAATGTAATTTTGTAAATTATAAAGTGGTGAATATTATTTAGTGGATGTCACCACTAATTATAATGTTGCAGGGGTAATATTAAATTTAAAAAATATGTTTGTTCTAAATTATTATAATACAAGTCTTACTTTTGTAGGACTGCTTTGGCTTAGACTACTACGATGGCCGAAGCAGAGGGAGGATCAGAACAAGATGATGTTTCATTTTTACGAACGGTAAATTATTCGTTTTGATACATATGCAGAATAATAATTAGATTACTTTCTGTTTCTATTTATGTTATATAGGAAGACATGGTATGTCTTTCGTGTACTGCTACAGGAGAAAGGGTTTGCTTAGCTGCTGAAGGATTTGGTAATAGACATTGCTTTCTGGAAAATATTGCTGATAAGGTATTTGTTGAGTATTTCTATGTCTTCGGAATATTTATAAATTCATATATTTTAGAATATACCTCCAGACTTATCCCAATGTGTTTTTGTAATCGAGCAAGCTCTGTCAGTAAGAGCCCTACAGGAGTTAGTTACAGCTGCAGGAAGTGAAACGGTAAGACTTTATATTAATAAGAAAAATGAAAGAAGTTTTGTTTTAATTAATATGAAAAAATGTTTTGTTAAATTATTTCTGTTTAAACTTGGTAAAAACTATATAAAATTCCATCATTTTTATTTAAAGTATTTCATCGTTTATTAGTGTGCATATTGAAAGTTTTTTTTGAAACTGTGCCAATTAAATTACTTTAAGTATTCACTGGGTAATATGAAAATTTAAAATAAGTATTTAATTGTCTTTGCAAAGGTTTACATGTATTAATTTAAGAGAACAATTTAAAAGTTTTAGAAAGTACACAGTGTACAGTTGCATACAACTTTGAAGCAACCAAAATTATTTTTCTTTTTGTTGCAATCATGTTGCTTTAATAACATCTGTTATTTTAGTCATCCTAATGTAATTTAAAAAGAGTAGAGTATTTCCGTAAATTGTAAGCTATTTTAAAACTAAATAGTTTTATGCAATTCCTTTTTAAGAGATAATAGATATAAGAGTAAAAAGAATTTGGAATACGTTATTGTATCCCTTCAATGTATATGGAAAGTAGAAGAAAATAGGAAATACTCTACGTACATTTTTTTCGCATACTTAATTCTGTAGCCCCATTTTTCATTTGCATGCTTTTTGTATTTCAGGGTCAAGAAAATTTAGTAAGTATCACTAAAGAGAAAGTACATGGTAAAAATTAAATTCAAAATTTTCTATACTAATGCCATAATTTTAGCCAAAGTTTCATGGTTATCAAACAAAATTTTCATCACACTCTGTATGTAATTTATTAACCGAATATTCGTAGACTAGCGATAATAAGAAGAACATTTTTAATTCCTTCTGTTGATTAGATAATTATGAAACTGGGTCTTTAGTACAAGCTTTATATGCATTAACTGCAAATATTACTTTAATAATGGAATGAACTCTAAAAGTTGCATCTTTCGTAAAGTTAAAAAAACAAGTAAAATGAATATTTTATCACTAACATTAATTTGATTGTATTGCAATGCTTCTTGTAAATTTTTTCGTATGCGAATACATTTAAACAACGTTGGCTTGTAGAAATTATTAGCTTTGAGTGTTATTGTTTAAACATTATTTTAGTTATTTCAATCAAAATGAAAGTATTCAAAATGTTGCCATATTCGTTTAATAACGTTATTTTTGTTTATAAAGGGCAAGGGAACAGGCTCAGGTCATAGAACGTTGCTTTATGGTAACGCAATTCTCTTGCGGCATCAAAATAGTGACATGGTAAGTAAATAATGTTCGAACAAATATATATAAAATATATAGTATATATAATTCAAAATTAAAAATTTTCGTAAGTAAATTGTTGTTTTTAGTACTTGGCTTGTTTGTCCACGAGTTCAAGTAACGATAAGTTGGCCTTTGACGTTGGTTTACAAGAGCATAGTCAAGGGGAGGCATGCTGGTGGACTGTACACCCTGCTAGCAAACAAAGGTGCAATACTGGCTTCTAAAAATGTAAATTTCTACTTTCTATATTGTCTTTTTAGGTCTGAAGGAGAAAAGGTCAGAGTGGGTGACGATTTAATTTTGGTATCTGTAGCAACAGAGAGATATTTGGTAAGTTAATGAAATTAATGCTTTTTATGTGTAACTTTACTTTAACATTCATTCTGTTTTGCAATATATTTTTTATAAATTGTAGCACACCACTAAAGAAAACGAAGTATCTATCGTAAATGCTAGTTTCCACGTGACCCATTGGTCAGTCCAGCCCTACGGTACCGGTATGTCTCGTATGAAGTATGTAGGATACGTTTTCGGTGGAGATGTGCTGCGTTTTTTCCATGGTGGCGATGAATGTCTTACAATACCATCCACCTGGTCTACAGAGGCAGCTCATAAGTAAATACTTTAAAACGTTTGTTGCACTTTTTTTATTGCTTTATTATTTAGTATTGTCATCTACGAAGGAGGCAGCGTTATGTCTCAAGCCCGATCATTGTGGCGCTTAGAACTGGCGAGGACAAAGTGGGCGGGTGGTTTTATTAATTGGCTTCACCCAATGCGTATCCGTCACTTGACCACAGGCCGCTATTTAAGTGTTAATGAACAAAACGAATTGTGCCTGGTAACTAGGGAAGAGGCTACGACTGCTTCATCTGCTTTCTGTTTGCGACAAGAAAAAGATGATCAGAAGATTGTGCTGGAAGAAAAGGATTTGGAAGTAATCGGTGCTCCGATTATCAAATATGGAGATTCCACAGTGATTGTACAACATTCAGAGACCGGATTGTGGTTATCATATAAAGTAATAATAATCATTCTACTCTGTCGTACCGAAGGTTTTATTTAAATACTTATTTATTATGTTATCAGTCCTACGAAACGAAGAAAAAGGGCGTAGGTAAAGTAGAAGAAAAACAAGCAGTGTTGCATGAGGAAGGAAAAATGGATGACGGATTGGACTTCAGTAGAAGTCAAGAAGAAGAGTCAAGGACAGCTCGTGTTATTCGTAAATGTAGTTCTCTGTTCACCCAATTTATTAAGTAATTAGCTGCATTCTTCCTCTGTATTTTGAACTAATTAAATTGAAATCATTTCAGTGGCTTGGAGACGTTGCAGATGAATAGACGACATTCCTTGTTTTTCGCCAGTGTTCACTTGAACGAAATGGTAATGTGTTTGGAAGATCTTATTAATTATTTCGCCCAGCCAGAAGATGATATGGGTATGTAGCAGTAGTTAATAGTTTTTTTGAATAAATTACGTCGTTTATTTCAGAACACGAAGAGAAACAAAACAAACTCCGTGCTCTACGTAACCGTCAGGACTTGTTTCAAGAAGAGGGAATTTTGAATTTAATTCTAGAAGCAATTGATAAAATAAATGTGATAACTTCCCAAGGATTCTTGGCGACCTTGGCCGGTGATCAGAGTTGGGAAATGATTTCTGGTTACTTGTATCAATTGTTAGGTATGCTATCCTCTGTTATGCAAAACGGTGTTTTAAAGCAATTTAACAGGTAGATGTTCATTTTTCAATATAAATTTCTATTCCTTTGTAACAGCTGCTATAATAAAGGGAAACCACACCAATTGTGCCCAATTTGCCAATTCTAACAGATTGAATTGGTTATTTTCACGTTTGGGGTCTCAAGCTTCCAGCGAAGGCACCGGCATGTTAGATGTACTTCATTGTGTTCTCATTGATTCACCAGAAGCTCTAAATATGTTAAGTGTAAGTTGCAATTCGCGTACTTAAATACAAAATGTAATTTTAAATTTGCTTAATAAATTATTTTTTGTAGGATGAACATATTAAAGTGATTATATCACTATTGGAAAAGCACGGAAGAGACCCAAAAGTGTTGGATGTGCTATGTTCGCTATGCGTTGGTAATGGAGTAGCTGTACGTAGTTCACAGAACAATATCTGCGATTTTCTTTTGCCGGGTAAAAATTTGCTATTGCAAACGCAATTAGTCGATCTTGTGGCGAGGTAAATGATAAAAGTTTATTTTAAATACACAACTTGATAGTCAATATTATAAACACTGTTTCCCTTTTTTTGTTTTCTAATTATTAAAATTAAAAATTCATTAAAATTAAATCAAAAGGTTGTAAAATGAATCAATGTTACGTCGTACGAAGCTTTCGTATTTTTTTCCAGCATTCGTCCGAATATATTTGTGGGCAGAGTAGAAGGGAGTGCCATTTACCAAAAATGGTACTTCGAGGTGACTGTTGACCATTGGGAACAAACTACTCATATGATGCCCCATTTACGAATTGGTTGGGCCAATACAAAAGGTTATATACCGTATCCAGGTGGAGGTGAGAAATGGGGTGGCAATGGCGTTGGCGATGATCTATATTCGTTCGGATTTGATGGAGCTTTCCTTTGGACTGGCGGTCGAAATACTAAAGTTGTTGATAATATAATAGAACCTTTCATTAGAAAAGGTAAATTATAATGTAACGAATATGTGTTACTTATTAACTATTACTTAAAATTTTTTAAATTATTGTAAAATAATACAAATTCGTAGTGTTCCTTGACTGCCAAAAAAAAATTTAAGTTTAAGTTTTGTTATTACATGTTTTTATATGAATGATATTAATTTGCCACAATTAATTATGTTAAGGTGATGTGGTTGGGTGTGCACTGGATCTGACTGTACCGTCGATATCATTCTCATTTAATGGGGCTCCTGTCAGTGGTAGTTTCAGAAATTTTAATTTGGATGGAATGTTTTTTCCAGTCATCAGTTGTTCTTCTAAATTAAGGTAATTATAAATTAATTACAACAATAATGGGTAGATATATTTCTTTTCTTTTTTTTTATTTTAGTTGTCGGTTTTTGTTGGGAGGCGATAATGGTCGCTTAAAGTATATTCCACCAGAAGAATTTTCTCCCCTTGTGGAAAGTCTGTTACCACAACAAGTTCTTAGTCTCGATCCATGTTTTTATTTTGGGAATCTAAACAAATGTGTACTGGCAGGCCCGTGGCTTGTAGAGGACGATGTTGCCTTTGTACCAGGCCCTGTCGATACAAGTATGGTAAGAAAATTACCAATTTTCTTTTGTATAGCTAACTAAAAGCAGTTTGCGTTGTAAAAGAATAATAGTTTTCATTTTACACGTTAAAAGGTATTTACTACTTTTTATTGATTAATTGATTTTCCTTATATTACAGTATCGATTTATTTCAATATTGGATATGTAAATCAAAGTAAATGTTTTATTTTACTTTTTTAGGTGACATTGCCTAATTATATAGAATCAATAAGGGATAAACTAGCCGAGAATATTCACGAAATGTGGGCCATGAATAAAATCGAGGCTGGCTGGCAATGGGGCGATTATCGTGATGACTTGAGACACATTCACCCTTGTCTTGTGCCTTTTGAGAAACTACCAGCAGCTGAAAAAAGATACGATTCACAATTGGCTGTACAAACGTTAAAGTAAAGCTTTAGTTCCAATATTTAACATCTACAAATTACTATGATTTCATAAAAAAATGTTCTCATTTTATACTTGAACTTAACTGTCTTATTTTATTCCTGTTTTATCGTTTAATACTAATCGAGGACCATTTTCTATTTTAAGGACTATAATTGCTCTGGGTTATCACGTTACTATGGATAAGCCCCCGTCACGTATCAAGACTGTACGTCTTCCCAATGAACCTTTTATGCAGGCGAATGGTTATAAACCTGCTCCTTTGGATTTGAGTGCTATTATTTTGACCCCGAAAATGGAAGAACTTGTTGACCAGTTAGCCGAAAATACACATAATCTATGGGCAAAAGAACGAATATTACAAGGGTGGACTTACGGCTTGAACGAGGTGAATTGAAATTTTTTAATATATATTAGTATACTGATAATTACCGAAAGAAATGAAGAAATTGTGCTGTAAAAGAATTGTTTAAAATTTTATTACGTTAGGATCCCGATATGAAACGTAGTCCTCATTTGGTACCTTATGCTAAAGTAGATGAAGCAATTAAGAAAGCTAACAGGGACACTGCATCAGAAACTGTGAGAACCCTACTTGTTTATGGATATAATTTGGATCCGCCTACTGGCGAGCAACATGAAGGTAAGTCTTAGTTATTTCCCTTTTCTGTGTTTTTTTAATACATGTTTTTTGTATATTTGTATTAGATTAATTTCGAAATTTGAAATATTTTCGCTAGCATTACGCTTAGTGATTAGTATGTAATCCTTTTTTATTTAAATACTTATTTATTATGTTATCAGTCCNAGAGATATTAGAAAGAATAGGAGAAGCAAGGACTCTATGGATGTCAATAAGAAATAGGCGAGATAGATTAGTAGGACACCTTCTCAGGCATAAAGGTCTAGTCTGAGACATATTAGAGGCAGAAATATGAGTTAGGAGGAGTACAGGTGGACCTGAATTAGATTACTGTTCACAAATAGTTAAGGATGTGGATTGTTCTAGTTTTAGGGAAATGCGAAGATTAGCTCAGGATAGGAAAGAGTGAAGATACTTGTCCAAACGTGCTTAGGACTAACTACCTTATGATGATGACAACATCATTTAAATTTTGTGTGAAATGAATTCTTGTTATTTAAAGGTTACTTGCACTTTGAAAGTCATATCCTTTTCATTGTTGTTTTATTATTATTATATTGTTTTTTAAAGCTATGCTAGCGGAAGCTGCAAGATTGCGTCAGTCAGATTTTCGAACCTACCGCGCTGAGAAGAATTACGCAGTTAGCTCAGGAAAATGGTACTTCGAATTTGAGATTTTAACAGCTGGTCCCATGAGAGTAGGATGGGCCAAAGCGGACTGCGCTCCTGGTAATATGTTAGGATCTGATGAAAACACTTGGGCATTTGATGGATACAGTGTAAGTAAAAAATAATCTATAATAAATAATTAGTATCAATTAATAATGAAGAAGCAAATGATGGTAGTTTTCGTTACGAATTTAACTTTTTGATACATAATTCGTTATTGTACTTTTATATATTACCCTTTTGTCCTCTCCGCTTTAGTTTTAAGACCCATTTTCAATAAAAATGGCCATATTTCCAAAATTGTTTTGCTTGCAACACATACGACCAAGCAAGTTCTGTAATTATGTCTAATTTAAAATCAACAATATTAGTAGAAAAGAGAGACTAGTATTAAAGTCCAGTCTAAGTTACGGCAAACATGTCAGAGCCTCTGTTAGTCGACTGATAGTTGTCGCTTCAAAAAAATTTAAAGCTCATTCTGACAAGTAAGAGCAAGCTGAAAAGCTCCACAACTACTTCTATTCGTCTCTGCCACTACTTCATGTAATATTGGCTTCTCAACAGCGTCATCTCTTGCTTTCCAATGTTTTTAGCTCACTCTATGTAGACTGGACTAATCTCTCTTATCTGATATTAATAGTTGCCATGACGTTTAGGCAAGGCAAGATACACATGAGTATTATCATACACCGTTACATCAGTTTTGGGTTGTGATCATACATAATAGATGCACAGTAAGATGGTCTTGATCATACATACTTAATGGATCTTGTTTGATCCAATAAGTCAAGAAAACATCAATGTAAATATATTTTAAAATGAACAGAGATAACTATCGTTTACATTTTTATTTAAATGAAACTCTTCTACATCAAACTGGGGTTGGATTACTGAACTGAGAACAGTATTTGCCGTTATTGTTTGTGTTGATTGGATCCAAAATAGTGGTTGACGATAATACCCATGTCTTTAATGCTCTAGCAGTCTTTCGGCAGGCAGACAAGGTGCCACCATAAGAGTTTTTTTTATATCTTTAAGTAAAGTACCCTTAAAAATCGCCAGGAAGTTATATTCCTGCGTATTATAATCAAATTAGTTTTTGTTTTTTTGAAAAACAAAATCATTTATAATTCTAGATGCGTAAAGTTCACGGTGGAGTTAGTGAATTATTTGGAATTAAATATCAAGTAGGAGATATTATAGGCATTTTTCTAGACGAAATCGATCACACCATTAGTAAGTTCAGGGTGGTCTAATGTCGGTTCTTTGTGTCTTATATCATGTACCTACTAATAAGTGTGTAAACCTTTATTCGATTAAAATATCGAATTTTAATTAGTGTTAACTAATGCGACATTGTATTGTAGTTATTATATGTGTAGGTTACATTCGGGTTAAGAATAACATCAACTTTGTTCATAAAAAAAAACATATGTGGATTTTAAAACTAATAAATTTCACTGTAGGAGGAAAAAGTTTATGGTAATACTGCTGAATCTTTTGGAAAACAGTGGCAAGTCGGCGATGTAGTTGGTGTATTTCTCGATCTAATCGACCACACCATTAGTAAGATTCAAAAATAAATATACGATTTGCTACTCCTTTTATTATTATATCGCTTTCAATATTTCACGTTGGCGATGCAATGGTAAATGTTTCATTTTGAGCTGTCTTAGATCATTTTTTCCCTATTCATTAAACCATTTACATGTGTAACTATGTAATTGTTCGATAATTGTCACTGCATATTTATTTTAATTAACGGTGGGCATATATAATGTATGTAATTTGGTAAATGGTAGGAAAAAAGCATTACAGCTCACAATGAAGCGTACTGTATACCTATTACAAAGTTTTTCTGCAGTTGCTTTAAAGTTGTTTAATTTTTAATTTTTGTCTATTCCGTTAACACAACTGTCCGCTTTTATTATTAATCTTGTCAAATTTAATTCTGAACGTGGTATTAACCAGGACTCACGCAATGTTTGAGCTTGCTCTTCGATTTCATTATTACATTCTGTGGAATCGAATTATGCAAATTTGAAACTGGTAGTTTTTATTGCACGTTTATCGAAATTTTACTTTTGTATTTTTATATAATTAATACCCACTTCACTACAACGTTTCCTGTGAAAGAAGAAAATTGATCTTAACTTTCGACATAAACGGAAGTAATAGAATTTTAATGTTACATATAGTCCCCTTTGTACAGCCTGTTCCTGTGTACTTCTTGTGTTTTACTAGGTTCTAAAACGTGTGTACTAATGATAGAATGTACTTTTATGAGTCTACATTTTATAACTAATGTGTTTGCTATAACGTTAAAGTTTTTTATTTTTGTAGTTGTTTAGAGTTGCTTTTTAAAATATTTACTGTTGTTCATACGAACTAGTCTTTTTATATCGTACTTTGATAAATTCCCTCCATAAACTTGCATGGTTTTCCCGAATTAGTGCAAAATTTAACATATACATTTATCTAAAATTTTGAAAGGTTTCTCCCTAAATGGAGAGTTACTTATGGATGCATTGGGGGGCGAAACGACATTCGCTGACGTCCACGGAGACAACTTTGTTCCCGCTTGTACCCTTAACGTTGGTCAAAAAGCTAAACTTAATTTCGGACAAGATGTTTCCACCCTCAAATTCTTTACAACGTGCGGCCTTCAAGAGGGCTATGAACCTTTCTGTGTGTAAGTATTTATTATTCAAAATTTATTTATAATTTTTATCGAATCGTTTNAAGTCAAGTAAGGAAGGCCTCGGTTATATTAATTGATAATTATGATCGAGTTGTGGACTGGTAAGTTTTATATGAATATTCTCACTAACACCTATCATGATCATCATCCTATTTGCCTATTAGATGCAGGTGTGATTCAGATATTAAGAAAACCTATTTATAATTTTTATCGAATCGTTTTTCATATTTTTAGCAATATGAAACGGCCGGTCACTTATTGGTACACGAAAGATCAGCCAATTTTCGAAAACACGGACGACATACCCGATACAAAAATTGACGTGACTCGAATTCTGGCCGGTTCAGACAGTCCGCCGTGCTTGAAGATTAGCCACAATACGTTCGAAACGATGGAAAAGGCCAACTGGGAATTTTTAAGACTTAGTTTGCCAGTTATTTGCCATTCGGAATTTATAACGTAACTATAATTTTTTTACATTATCTTTTTGAAGTTTTATGTTTTTTTCATAAATATAATAGAGAAGAAGAGAAAAGTAGGAGATGGCAAGAAATAAAAATTCGACAGCATAGATTGAGAGCTGAAGCTAATCAAACAACACCAGCACATATAGAGCAAATAATGAAAAGTGGATTTTCCATTAGCGACTTAAAAGGTTAGATGTTAGAATTAGGGTTGTCTTTTTCGTATTTAATGAAACAATATTTACAAATATTTGATTTCTAAAAAGTAAAAAGTATCAAACCGTAATTTTTCGTAAAGACAATTTATATATATTACTACTATTATAGGTTTACATCGTAATTATTCTGAAGATGCTGTGGAAGCAGACGAAGTAATGAATAAGCCGACAAATAAATCGACGAAGAGTATGCCACCCAGGCCACCTAGGAAAGGTTCCCTATCAAGAAATGTTTACGAAGTAGAACAAGGTATGATACGAATTCGCAATCCCAATTTTAAGCAGATCGATTGAATAGTACTTTACTTTTAGACGATAAATGTAAAAGAAAGTTTAAGCCGTATATAATACTACTTTATTTATCTTTAAGTTAATAGTGAAATATACAATACTAATATTTAAAACCCTACCTAAGAATTATAAATGAATGTCGATAACAAGAATAACGTGTCGTGTACGGTCAAGGATGTTCTATATTCTATACTAACAGTGTATCCTTGGAGCATGGTAAATCATACTATGAGGTTGAGACGTTGCCAGTTCTTTGCTTAAACAAAATGGTCATGTAAATATGGATTTTTATTATAAAAATTATTTCAAAATACGTCGTTAAAGTACATTTGATACCAATTTATGAAAGTAAAAAATTTCCAATCCAAAATTAAAATTGTAAATACTTCAAATATTTAAATTAAACACCGTGTGTTTCTAATGTTATTAAAAATGTAATACCTCATTAAACGTTAGTTAAAGCGCCTTGAAATATTTTCATGGCATTCAAATGAATTTATAGGTCTAGAGGCATCAAGTGGTAAGATTAATCGATCAACCAGTGAACTCGATTTGCATAGATATCATGACACAA